GACATTGATCTGGTCCTAACATCTCCACCTTTGGCAAGAGTTTCTATTGTTTAGCTTTGTTTTATATTTCCTGTTGTTCTTCAGTTTTTGGAGGATGGTGTGGTCTCTTATGTTTACAATAAAATCCTTTTGTATCGCTCTGTGTGCTGGCTTCCCTTCTCTCCACCATAGGCGTCATTTTAACCGGGGACGCCGGGGACATGTCCCCGGCAAAATTTGTGATTGGCAACTGTGTCCCCCCCACTTTCAAAAACGCCTGCTGATGAGGATTTTTGTTTTACCAGCTCAGATCTTATACCAGGGGTCGGCAACCTGTTCCCATCAAAGAGCCATTATTACCCGTTTCCCACGGTAATTTTGGACGGACCTTATAAGCGGTGACTTAAGTGAAGCAGGCAGGTCGCGCTAGAAAATTTCGTTTAAAAAGACGTCATAAATGTGTTCCCCCGTCCTTTTTATTTATAAAATATTAAGTAAAAACTCACAATTTAATTTTCGTTCATTTGTCATTAATATGTAGTCTACACCCGTGCGTTAAGTGGACCATCTTCCAGTAAACGCAAAGCATCCAGTCCACCTCTCCAAATGCGTAAAATGTGCATCAGCCGCTAGTTAGGCGCGCCGCGCGCACCGTCAGCTACGTCAGCCCAGACAAGAGCAGAGCAACTAGAGAAAGAATAGAGGATAATTCTGTCTGGATGTTGATGGAGATTACATTTTACAGCAGCCTGATCATCATTTAAATACGTACACCATCACCTGTCTTCTAGTCCACGCTATCAGCAATATTTTAATTGGTGTGTGTGTGTGTGTGTGTGTGTGTGTGTGTGTGTGTGTGTGTGTGCGTGCGTGCGTGCGTGTGTGCGTGTGTGTGTGTGTGTGTGTGTGTGTGTGTGTTTTTCCGCTTCAAACACTGGTCTAACCAACCAGACCAGCGTGTCCAGTAACACATTAATGTTACAATTAAACAGTTTCACTTCATGTAGGCTAGGAACGTTTCACCTGCCGTGGCCCGACCGCTTCTGCTCCACATAAACTTTGTGCGTGATCAAATGTCTCTATGCGTCATGCGTGTCCATATTAGAGACGGGAACAAGCGCTGTTCAGCCAAAGTTTCATAATTTCATAAAAAGAACATTTTTCCAAGTGACACATCCCTCAGAGAGACCGGGTTTCCAGACTGTTTCAGTGGGAGGAAATCTTATCGCATGCGCCGTGGTTCTGCACTGCGCTGGAACCCCAGATCTTCAGCTCACTGTCCACCGTGGGCGCTCCGAGCCGCGCTGAACACAGTGTCCAGTATAAAGCTCTGATGTTCTGATGGGAATATTTTACCTCCGCGATGTGCGTTAACGATTAAAATGTCAGCTCATCCATGAGCATCAGTGTGCGTCGGGGTAATTCTTTCAAACCAAGCAACATCCTTGAGTTCATCTGTCAAAATAAACAGTCAAATGGAAATATATGTAACCTGCCATTTAACTGTTTTGCCTTCCTGTGAAGATTGTTGCAAAGAGAAACAATTAAACTTGATTTACCCCAGAGCCACGCAGAGAACCATGCAGAGCGCATGCGGGAAGATCCCTCCCACTGAAGCGAGTGTTTTCCAAACCCTGTCTCTCAGAGAGACTTGTCACTTAGAAAATGTTCCCTGATTATGAAACTTTGGCTGAATAGTGCTTGTTCCTGTCTCCAATGTGGCGACACATCCAGGAGCCGTCTGAGGAGAATCCCAGAATCTCACATCCTCTTCAGCTCATAAAGTGCCGATATGATTATACACAAGCGTGACCGGTCAACCACCGCAGACTGGCTTGGACCTGTTCAGGTTTACGCAGATAATCTTTACATTTAGAATTGGCATACAGGTGTAAAATTAATGCAGTAAAATATAAAGCATTTTATTTAAATATCCATTCATTATTTTATAAGCACAGAGAGCCGCATCAGATGGATGGAAGAGCCGCATGCGGCTCCAGAGCCGCGGGTTGCCGACCCCTGTGCTAGCCTACTTTATTGTCCCCAGCAATTTTTAAACCCCACTCAAGTGTATGGTTATTGTCCCCAGCAATTCTGACAACAAACTGACGCCCTTGCTCTCCACAACACAGTTTCAAATAACCAGAGAGGGGGAGAGAGGGTCCTTCTGGTGGGAGCTTGTAGCTGGGGATGGAGAGTGGAGGCCAATAACAAATGCAACACGGAGGTGGTGTTGAAGACTGGGCAACTCAGCAGGCTCAAAAACGACTGGCTCTGGAACCATGTACTGTTTGGTAACAGTAATTGTAATTGCATCTCTTCGTCGCAGAGCTCACGGAGAAGTATAAATCAGGCTTGAGTCAGGCCGGCAACGTGATTCTTGCTGCTTATTGGCTAGGGGGTGGAGTCACTGGTTGCTCTGCAGTTTTCCACCTTCTGCTTCACTGCCTGCAGCCATTTCCTGGTTAGAGCCTGACAATTACCCATAAAACTGAGCAAAATGTCCAGCAACACCCCCATTTTTTTGCTGCGTTGTGGTTCTGTGTAGCATACTGGTTACTTGGCACTGTTTACTGGTCACCTCATGCTATTTTGAAATAAGCAAAAATCCCCCCAAACCTGGGAGAACATTCTTTTTTTAAAGTGACGTTACATCATGTTAGAGATATTTTGAAACCTTTATTTTATGCCCAAGAGCTGTTTTAATGGACATGTAGTTAGAATAGTTTTGAACTTTCACATTGGTCATTCATTTTTTATTAGAGCCAATGTTTAGAAGAGAACTGTACTTTCTGTGGTTTAGAAGTAATTACATTGACGCCAGTTTTGATGCCAACTAGCTAATAATATTTTGATTTAGAATAAAAGTATTTACTTCTAACCCTAACCAACAAACAAGACTGGCTTGCTTTTACAGTACAGTTTCTCTTTACTTACTTGGTAATGTGTTTTACTTGGTAATGAAGCAGTATTTCACTGGAAACAGGTTCCATTCAAAGTATACAATTTACCCTGAACTACATGGTAATATGTTTAAAAACTGAGAAGGAAGACTGACTTTTGTTTACAATAGTTTCCTTTAACTTTCTTGGAAATGTGTTGTGTTTTTCTTGGTAATAATGCAGTATTTACTACTGCTAGTTTATGTCCAGTTTAAATAGATATACAATGTCACATGAGTTACATGGTAATAACTGCCTAATATCTAATACATCTAAATGTATCATCAGTATCTGTTACCTGGTATTTATGGCAATTTACTGTGTAAACTAGTGGTAAATAGTATGTAGTTTAGGAATTCATAAATAGTAATTTAATTGCAATCACTTAGTAACTAGTTGTGAATACAGAGCAACACACCGTTTACGGCCACTTTACTGTGTAATGTGATGGAAAATAGTGCCTAATTTAGGCACTGCTGAGCAGTAATTAGATTGGAATTACCCTTTAAAATGTGTCTAATTACTGAGTAAGTTCATGTTTAATTAAGACTTTTTACATAGTAATACAATGTAACTTACTGTGTAATTACCATGTAAAAACATGTGAAAGGGACTGTAAAACAAAGCATTACCAAATAACTTCATGTGGGAGAATCTTATCTTTTCATGATATTAATTCCATTTCAGACTTGTATTAGCCTTTAGTTGTAGCTGAGGTTTTCTCACAGCTAGTTCTTCCTTTTTGCTGTTTTGCCTCCACCTAAGCTGATCGGCTCATCAGTTAGCATGAGGCATCTCTACTGCGGTCTGACTGAGCTCGGTACATAAACCGCCCACACGGCAGTGGAATCCTGTTTCGGTCTCTTTCCAACCGCATTTACAAAAACAGTCTGAACACTCATCCGTGCTGCTGCTGCTGCATGGAGTTCTGTTGTGATGAGTGCTGGTTCAGATTCTCCTCTTTCTCCTGGATTGCTCATCTTTCTGATGTGTCTCTTGTGGCTCTCTGGCATCAGGGTGAAATAAACGAAGCCTGTGAAACAGTCCCACTGTGTCATTACTATTAGAGTTTGAGGTTGTTGGAATGATGATGAAAGGAATTAATTATATTTTCCTGAATTTGTTACTTTTAGTTAATATTGGACTCATCGGTTTAAATCTGCTCATTATAGGGAAACAGTCATTAATAAAAGATTCTTTTATGACAAAGAAACAACAGAACCAGTGAATCTTTTATAAAAAAAAAATCATGAAATTTTATGATTTTACACAATAAAAAATTGTATACTGTGCAAAACAATGCTTTGCACTATTTCATGAAAATGGTTTATTTTAGTTATCAATTTTTTATACACTCTAATAAAAGTTTTTGGATGATTTATTAAAGGATCACATTTTGAGATGCATGGTTAATGATTTTGTTTTCACGTGTTCTGCTCTTGTCTCAATCTTTTTTCCATTGATGCCATATAATTTGGTGCAAATTGTTTTCCCTTTTTTTTAAGTGTTTTACTGTTTCATTTCCTTGTCTGGCGTGTTTAATGTGACATACTCAAGTAGAGCTATTAGTCTTGAAGATTGTGCAGAAATATATCAGTTTAAATCCTTTTTATTTGTTTTTCCGTCTTTTTGGCAGTCGTGAAGTTTTCAAGCAGCAGGTGTAGAAGAAGAGGACTCAAGCTTTGGAGCACTAAGACTTTAATGGCTGAAATTCATCCATCAGAAAGCGTTTCATGATCATGTTTGACAGAAAGCTGACATGTGACACAACTACTGTTGGTATGGCAGAGGTCTGTATATTGTTTTTAACACACTAGTTTTGTGTTAATATTTCACAGATTTAAGAACAGTCCAGACATTAATGCATTATTTCCAGCACTGTCCTGAGTTATGGGATGTTTGTACAGATAAATAAAACTAGTTCTAATTTGTATTTTCTCTCACTTTCTCATAACAACAGTTTGAGGTAAATACTTTGAAACACAAAGTAAATGCAGGTGAAACTGATGTTCCCTCAGATAACAAAGAGAAAATGAACACACACACACACACACACACACACACACACACACACACACACACACACACACACACACAGAGTAACCTCTGCAAACTGACACAAAAAAGTTAGACCCGATCCTGCCGTTACAGACACAGCGTTCGAGGAGAATGACATGTGGTGTTTTTCCTCATTTGAGAGGAAGTGACACCTCCACCACAACTCTCATGTTTGCTGCCAGTGTCAGAACTTAACACGTAGACCACAACCTGGTCTGTTGCTGAGGACGAGGACTGGGGGTTGCATTAATACAAGCAGCAAAAAGCCGCACTTGAAAGCATGAAATATTCTGTTCTACTTAAGAGTGAAGTCTTCTTGTTTTGTCTCTACATGTAGGGTCTTTACAAACATGCCACCATGTAGTTAAGTTGATCTTTCAGTAGATTTTGGTGGTTTCTCCTTAACAAACCAGAAGCAAAGAACTGCAGATAGGAAGACCTCCAGACCCAGCACGCAAAGCTGCAGCACCTCCATCTGTTCGAGAAGTTGGAACAACAATAAATATACATGATTTTTAATTTAGACATATGTAAAATAAATGACTTACTCTCATAAATGGTTCATTATCTGTCTTCCAAAGAGCTACATCAGCACTTATCAGAATAGCTCCAATAACACCCACAATGATGCAGCCGCAGTTCAGCACAAAGGACACCTGAGGTACACCATGATTTCTCAGATTATTAAAACCCTCTTCTACACAAATATAGTCAGATTGATGAAGATTTTCACTCACAGCTAATAATGATGGATATTTAAACAACAGATTGGTAACAAGTCCAGCACAGATGTACTGTAGAGGAGAACAGAGATTAGAGAGGATTTCGTTCATTTTTTTAATATGATTTGAGCTGAAAATTACCAGAGCTCCAGTGAGGTGTGAGACTCTGAACAGAGTGAGAAAGGACTGCTGCATGTCCTGCGTCACAGCAAACAGAAGTCCAACACCAACACTCATGACGCCACTCACCACCTGCAAACACTGACCAGAAAACAACTTTTGTTAAGTCCTCGGACCTGAAATTTCATTCAGTTAAATTTTTTTACATAGCGCCAAATTATGACATAAGTCGTCTGAAGGCCCTTCACAAAGTAAACATTCCAGTACAGGTCAGTTCATAAAGCCAATCAGTCAGAAGTTTTCTATATAAAGAACCCAGCAGGTTGCATCAAGTCACTGACTAGTGTCAAAGTCTTTACAGCAATCCTCTACTAAGCAAGCATAAAGCGACAGTGGAGAGGAAAACTCCCTTTTAACAGGAAGAAACCTCCAGAGGATCCTGGCTCAGTATAAGCAGCCATCCTCCACGACTCACTGGGGATCGAGAGGACAGAACAGACACACACACACACACACACACACACACACACACACACACACACAAAGTAATGTGTCTATAGTTATATTGTGATGTCTTAGTAAATATTCTATTTGGTGAGAGATAAACTTTATTGTATTTATCCTAGTGAATCTATAATTAAACGGGTAAACTAGTAGTAGCACATTCAATGTCAAAGAGAGGAAAAAGTTATCAGGAGAGGGAGAATGTTTAAGTGGTTAGCAGCAGTGTGCTAGTCGATGGCCCCCTCCATGAGGCCACCACAGCTCAGCAGAACGTCACTGTATCTTCTTCTGGGGAGAAAAACACTTACAGAGAAAATAAAGCTGAAATAGCAGGAAATAATCAATTATTTAATTATTTGTTATTTTAAGACAACAGGTAGATGAGTTTAAGCTCTTAACTATGTCCTCTAGTGTTTTGGCACAAATCATATTGATAACTGGCCTTCTAGCCAGTTGGCATTCTAGTTGTTTGGCTGTAGCAGTGGTCTGGTTGTATTGGTTGACATGGAGGAGTGAATGGCTAATCTGATGTTTAAGATTTTCTCTTTGAAAGAGGTACCAACTCATTACACTTAGACTGGGACATCAAATCGGGTGCCAACTGTGTTGGTTGATTAGTTACCCTCTCGACAGTGGCAAACAGAACATGAGAAATGTTAATGTTGTCATTGATACGTTTAGAGAAAAGGTTTGGCTCACCTTATTTAATTAAGTTAGATAGGGGCTTAAGGCAAAGCAGATTAGAAAATAGCTCTTTTAGCCCCATTATTGCCTTTCGCCCTGGATCACACATGCATGTTGTACCGCAATCTAAATGAAAACTAATGATGGTGTTTAAACCATCTTTGTCATGTACTCTGAGATTTATCAGCTTGTAGAAGTTTGTAATTAGCATGACTACAAATAAGACATCAGCACGTCGCATATATGACATCACCACAGAATCTCTTCTCCCCTAGCATAGCTATGACTTACAAAATGGCCAGATTTATGGGGTTTGAAAGAAGGATTTCAAGTTTGATAAAATTATAGCCATTTTCCCTCTGTTTTACTCCGTGTCTGGTTCGGTAGATGGGCATGACATAGGCTTCTTTAGGCTCCCTATAGGGGTGAAATTCTGACTAGAGAATGCATGAGATCATGCATCATCAATCTAGCTTATCATGATGGAGTTTTTCACTGGACAAGAAGGGATGGGTACCGATTTCGGTACTTTTTAAGGTACCGACCGAATTCCATAGTACCGACCGAGCACCGATTCACGTAGTTTCAAACGGTGCCTCGTTTCGGTACCCGTCCTTCATAACGAGAACTTGCCAAGACAGCTGCGCATGCGCAAGAGCGTTACGTCGTCGGTCGCTGTGAGCCAGTTGTAAACAGAGCAGCATGGTAGAAAGAACGCACGCTAACGCTTGGGTCCACTTCACTAAATGTGATGGGTAACTGGGTGATGATGAAACCAGCGACAGACAACGATCTAAGTGAAACATCCTCATCTTAATCTGCTCCGGTAGGTAAATAAAATGTTTAAGATAACGTTAGCTTGATATGTTAGCTTCCGTTTCGCTAACGGTGCGTTCGCTTTCTCCTCGGAACTCCGAATTTCCGACTAGAACATGAACGCGCTCTAAAGTTTGGCTTCACTTTACTAAATGCGACGGGTGATTGGGTGAAGATGAAACCAGCGACAACAATCTAAGTGTGAGGCATCATCGTTTTAATCTGCTCCAGCAGCTAAATAAACTGTTTAAGATAACGTTAGCTTGATATGTTAGCTTCCATTGCCACCGTTGTTATCAGCTAATGGTGCGTTCGCTTTCTCCTCGGAAATTCTAACTTCCCAGTAGGAAAAATCAAATGAAAAAGGACGGTAAAAGGAATGAAGATACACAGTAAATTTAGTTCACAGTAAAGACGTTTGCTTCAGTTTAATTATCAGCTTATAAAACTACAAGGACGATGTTAAAATACAAACAGTTGAACGTTATTTATCGTGATATTTATCAAATATTATATATTGAGAAAAATATATATTTAATTATAAAAGAGAATTAAAATAATAAACACTCAAAAGTATTGAAAATTGGTACCGTTAAGTACCGGTATCGATTCGTAGGTACCGGGAATTAGTACCGGATCGATTCAAATCTCAAAGGTACCCATCCCTAGATAGGATATGAGCCACCCCTAAATCAAATTTAAATTATTTTACATTAATTATAAATATAGGATTAAATGAAAGTGCCTGTGGGACATTTGAGACAAGTATCTCTAGCGCGCAACTGAGGAGAGAGAGAGAGAGAGAGAGAGAGAGAGAGAGAGAGAGAGAGAGAGAGAGAGAGAGAGAGAGAGAGAGAGAGAGAGAAAGAGAGAGAGAGGAATTTTAAGATTTTTTTTAGGATTGTAAAATCTTCTATCCCATTTTCTGTGAAGGGGTTTGGTTTTAAATGCATATATTTTACATTTTACTGATAAATAATATCCAAAATGTCAGAATTGTCAAAATAGAAAAATCATGATAAAATCGTGATCATGATTTTGCAAAAACAAAATTGTGATATGAATTTTTTTCCATATCATCCACCATCAATATTCAAAACCTTTATGGAATATAATCATGCTTTTGTCAATAATTTATACAATGTGTGTGTGATTTATATATGTTAATGCAGATGTGAAATAAATTCACCAAAATTTATAATCATTGCAACTTTGGTCGGGATGTTGGTTCACAGCTGACACATTCCAGCACCATGTTCAGTGAAAAATTGTACAGGATAGGGACTAATGTCTACTAACAAGTTTATTTTACAACAGTATTTACAGTATGAACATCTTGAACATCTCCTCCTTGAACCGTCACCTTATCGTGGTGGAGGAGTTTGAGTGCCCTAATGATCCTAGGAGCTATGTTGTCTGGGGCACTTAGTGCCCCTGGTAGGGTCTCCCATGACAAATTGGTCTTAGGTGAAGGGTGAGACAAAGAACGGTTCGAAGGATCTTTCATGGCGGTTAAAACGAAGAGTCGGAGTACCCAGCCCGGAGGGTTACCGGGGTCCCACCCTGGAGCCAGGCCTGGGGTTGGGGCCCGTGAGCGAGCGCCTGGTGGCCGGGCTTTCGCCCATGGGGCCCGGCCGGGCCCAGCCCGAACCGGATACATGGGCTCGTCCAACTGTGGACCCACCACCCGCAGGAGGAACATGAAGGGTCCGGTGCAATGCGAATCGGGTGGCAGACCAAGGCGGGAGCCTTGGCGGTCCAATCCCCGGACAAGAAAACTAGTTTTTGGGACATGGAACGTCACCTCGCTGGCGGGGAAGGAGCCGGAGCTTGTGGCAGAGGTTGAGCGGTACCGGCTAGATATAGTCGGACTCACCTCGACACATTGCATTGGCTCTGGAACCCGAGACCTGGAGAGGGGTTGGACACTCTACTTTGCTGGAGTTGCTCCGGGTGAGAGGCGGAGGGCTGGGGTTGGCTTTTTGTTAGCCCCGAGACTCTCTGCCTGTGTGTTGGGGTTTACCCCGGGGGACAAGAGGGTAGCTTCCTTGCGCCTTCGGGTCGGGGAACGGGTCCTGACTGTTGTTTGTGCTTATGGGCCAAATATCAGTTCAGAGTACCCACCCTTTTTGGAGTCCCTGGGACGAGTGCTAGATAGTGCTCCATCAGGGGACTCCATTGTCCTGCTGGGGGACTTCAATGCTCACGTGGGCAATGACAGCTTGACCTGGAGGGGTGTGATTGGGAGGAATGGCCCACCTAATCAGAACTCGAGCGGTGTTTTGTTATTGGACTTCTGTGCAAGCCGCAGTTTGGCCATAACGAACACCATGTTCGAACATAAGGATGCCCACCGGTACACTTGGTACCAGGGTAGCCTAGGTCACAGGTCGATGATAGATTTTGTAGTCGTATCATCTGACCTGCGGCCGTATGTTTTGGACACCCGAGTGAAGAGAGGGGCGGAGCTGTCAACTGATCACCACCTGGTGGTGAGATGGATCAGATGGCAAGGGAACATGCCGCGTAGACCTGGCAGACCCAAACGCATAGTGAGGGTCTGCTGGGAACGCCTGGCAGAAGAACCTGTCAAGACGGTCTTCAACTCCCACCTCCGGCAGAGCTTTGACCACGTCCCGAGAGCAGTGGGGGACATTGAGTCCGAGTGGGCCTTGTTCCACTCTGCGATTGTCGAAGCGGCTGTTGCTAGCTGTGGTCGTAAGGTGGCCGGTGCCAGTCGTGGTGGCAACCCCCGTACCCGCTGGTGGACACCAGAGGTTCGGGGAGCCGTCAGGCTGAAGAAGGAGGCCTACAGGGCGTGGCTGGTCTGTGGGTCTCCGGAGGCAGCAGACAGGTACCGGATAGCCAAGCGGGGTGCAGCAGTGGCAGTTGCCGAGGCAAAATCTCGGGCGTGGGAGGAGTTTGGTGAGGCCATGGAGAAAGACTATCGATCGGCTCCAAAGAGGTTCTGGCAAACTGTCCGGCGCCTCAGGAGAGGAAGGCAGCAACTCGCTCACACTGTTTACAGTGGGGATGGGGAGCTGCTGACGTCAACTGAGGCTATAGTCGGACGGTGGAAGGAATACTTTGAGGAGCTCCTCAATCCCACCAATGCGCATTCCGAGGAGGAACCAGAGCTGGGAGGCCTGGGGATGGACTGTCCGATCTCGGGGGCAGAAGTTGCTGAGGTAGTCAAACAACTACACAGCGGCGGAGTCCCGGGGGCGGATGAGGTTCGTCCTGGGTATCTCAAGGCTATGGATGTTGTAGGGCTGTCATGGTTGACACGTCTCTACAACATTGCGTGGTCATCGGGGGCAGTTCCTAGGGAGTGGCAGACCGGGGTGGTGGTCCCCATCTTTAAGAAGGGTGACCTGAGGGTGTGTTCCAACTATAGGGGGATCACACTCCTCAGCCTCCCTGGAAAGGTCTACTCCAAGGTACTGGAGAGGAGGGTCCGATCGATAGTTGAATC